GCCCTGAGATGGGATCTCACGGGAACAGAGGCTTGGGCGGCGGAGAAGTATTTTGGTGGACGCTTATGATGTTTGGGGAATATTTGAGAATATATAGAGGCGAAGTTAGGGTTAGGGGACTCCCGAGGGGCCCACAAGCCTGAGCCCCCCTGAGGTGCGCCCTGAGGGCTTGTGGCCTCCTCGGGACTCCTTTGGCCCTCCCCCCAAGTCTTCTGGGTGTCTTCTGGTCCAAGAAAAATAGATCCACCAAAGACCAACATCGACCGAATCCTGCGAGGTAGAATGGACATACACCACCACCCATCCATTTTGACGATGCTAGATGCACCATCAGGGCTGGGAGACACTATACCTACCAGGGGACATCATCGCTGTCATACAACCCCAACCGAGACGATGAACCAAACAAGAACGAGAGCGGGGGCCCTCCCGCTGACAAGGGGTTGGGGTCCTCCGCACCTCCACGATCCAAAAGCCATCAAAGGTGGGGCATATGGACGACGACGCTAAGGGGAGGAGGGGAAACCCTAGTCACCTGTGAGTAGTTTCTCGGGGAGGGAGATGCACTAAGCTTTTAGACCACTAGTGAAACATATTTCATATCCCTTGGGTATTGGAGCATATAGTTCTATAGACATTAGAAGAAGATTTAAATTAGCAAGGTATTCCATTGACTCTTTCATGCCCTTAGTGGCATTTGGTTTGAGGGAAGGAAGGGGTTGGCTGGGGATACCCTCAGCCAGATGGCTAGGGATATCCTCATTCTTGCTTGGTTGTAAGGATTAGAGATCGATGGGTTAGTCAAATATTTTTGTTTAGTTGGAGGGATAAGAACTAGATGGGTTGTTGTGAAAACCTTTTCCCATTAGATGGTAACATTACCTGCACATAATCAATTTTTGTCCAAACTAGATGGTTTCGGGCCATGACTGGCCCTGCCGCCCCGTGCGACCTGGCTGGCCCTATCGCAGCGCCATGGTTGGATCTGCCACCCAACGCGCCCTGCCATTGTGTTGTGGCTCGCTCCTGGAGGCATCTACTACTCCCGTAGGAGTTGTTGGGATTCCCCTAAAAGGAAGGGTGATGTAGAATAGAAGCAAAGCATTTCCCTTAGTTAAGAATCAAGGTTTAATCGAACCAGTAGAGTCAACTAGCTAATAAGATAAACGTCGCCTGCACACAAACAAGATAAAAAATTGCACCCAACGTGGCAAGAGGGTTGTCAAGTCCCTTGTCTTGCTAGTTACAAGATTAAAACAAATAGAGTTAGATAGTGGTAGTATAGTGAAACAAAAAATAAAAATAAGCAGTTTTGTAATAAAGTATTGATGGAGAATGGACCCGGGGGCCATAGGTTCACTAGTGACATCTCTCTCGAAAACAGGCGAATTACATGGTAAACAAATTACACTTGGGCAATTGAAAAGATTGCAATATTTATGACTATGATCATCCATGGCATAATCTCATATGGGCATTACGTCTATGATATATAAACGTTAATCCAACTGCATCTACTACTAACACTCCACCCTAAAACCGCTACTCAGCATGCATCTCAAGGTATTGAGTTTGCAAGAAATAAAGTATCACAATAAGAAAGATGCCATAATGTAGACACGAAGAAGTCGATCAATATGACAAAACCCCACCGTTTTATCCTTAGTATGGCAACAATATAATACTTGTCTTGGCCCATATTGTCACTGGGTTAGAGCACCACAAGATTGAACCAACTATAAGGCACTAGTCTCACTGAAGATAAATCAATCAAACTTGGCCAAAGAAGATAGATAGACCGAAGAGCATTACAAAGCTATTTAATTATGCAACAAGAAAACCCAAATAGATTCAGTTGAATTTAGTGAACGATCTGATCATAAAGTGACAATTGATCATGTCCCAACAAACACACCACCGATAAAATCAATTAGATCTCAATCAAGAACGAGAACATTGTACTGAATATCCAAAAGAGAGAGAACGATCTAGCTATTACTATGGACCCGTAGGTCTTAAAGGAACTACTCACACATGGTCATGGAGGCAACAAGGTTGATGAAGATCCCTCCGGCAATGGATGCCCCCTCCGGCATGCTCTGGATGGGATTTTTCGGAACAAAGGCTTGCAACAACGATAAAATTCTTCTAGAGGTACCACAAATGGTTTTGATATTTACAAGGAATTATGGCGGTGGAATCAGGTCAAGGCGGTTGATGTGGACCCACCCCTAGGCTGCGCCACCTGCCCTTGTGGGCCCCTCGTGGCTCGTCTCAATCTCTCCCGAAGCTTCCTGCATTTCTCGTCGCCCAAAAATGTGTTAAATTGGCAACGTATCTTGACCTCCGTAGATATTGATTACGTGCGAAACAAAAAATAAGCAGAAGACAAGAACTGACACTGGACACTACATTAATAGGTTAGTTCATAAAAAATTGCTATAAAAGTATATAAAAATTGATAATATAATAACATGAAACAATAAAAAAATTATAGACACGTTTGAGACATATTGGCATCCATCACTGCTCAAAGTCTAGCCACCACTCTCGCGCTTGATCTGCCAGTGTCATCGCTCTGGGTCCTACCACCATCACACATGTTCTGTTCGGCCGCACCACATGAGGGGATGGAACCAAATTGATGAGGACATCAATACCATTGTTACACCCACAACCCCTACTGCTACATATATTGGACCAATTACTAGAGCTCGCGCACGCCAATTAAATTATCAGGTACTTCTGTTTCTTGGTAATGATTCTAATGTTCATGAGAATATGATGCTACCTAAATTGGATACATTTGTTTTGCTTACAAATGAAGGGCCTAGCTTGGAGAAGGATGGACATTGGAGCACGAACAAGCATGGAGATGATGGCATGCGCAAGGGGAACAAGAACGGAGTTACAAGTGATGATTTCAGGACTTTGAAGCCACCATAACGGGTGCATGAAGCCTTGGACGAAATATACAAGATGCCACTTCATAAATTTCGTCCCGAGGCTATTCTAGGTGCCACGTCACCTTATTATTGGGTCAGGCCCCTGTAATTTCGAAATACATAAGTATAGGCTATTTTTAGAGTCCGTATGTGTGGGGAAACAAGAGATAGGGTTGATTTCGGACCCCTCCACCAAGGGCCACGAAATTCCCCCCCTCTTCCTCCATATATACAGCCCTTAGGGCACCGTTTAGACTTTGGGTTTTGTTTAGATTAAAAGTTCGCCATAGCTGCAACTTCGCGTACTTCGTTTGTGTTCAACGACCAAACAAAGGCGTCACAGAACCCCACCTTGATCAATAAAGCTTTCATCTTATATTCGCAATATCTAGATTGCAATCTCAGTTTCTTGCTTGTTCTTCGTTTGCTCGCAGGAAACAGACCCTCGTGGTCAGGTTGATCGTGCTCCGGCGTGGTCAATAACCTCTCGGAGTTGGTTTAGCGATTGCTAAGGCGCGACGTTCTCGCACATTCGTAGTTGGATCGTCAAAGTCGACTTCCACCAAAGCGAAATCCATCATCTCATCGAAAGACGGGACACCTTTGCCTCTATCACAAATGGGGAAAATAGAGGTGAGAGAGAGATGCAAAAAATGATTTGCAACTGAAGGTAGTGGCTCATGTGTTGGTGGTTGGCCATATTCGCGAGATTTTTGCGGATGTGCTCAACCGCATTTTGAGGGGATACTGTAGAATCTTCGCTGCCCATGGCCCTGGTTATCCCTAAACCAAACATCCGACGATCATCTAAAAAGTAGCGATCCCTTAACCACCTTAAGGATAGCCAGCTAACCAAACACCCTTTTATATTTGTGTTTATAATGTTTTTTTAAAAAATTCAATCTATTCATCTTCAATCACGGCAGTACAACAGACATCAAAAATATAAACATTACATTCAGATTCATGGACCACTTAGCGACGACTACAAGCATTGAAGTGAGACGAAAGCGCGTCGCCGTCATCGGTCCTTCCTCACTGGAGCCGGGCAAAATCTTGTTGTAGTAGACAGTTGGGAAGTCATTGTGCTAAGACCCCATAGGACCAACGCAACAGAACAACAACCATCGTAGATGAAGAGTAGTGTTGATCGAAAGGATCCAACCTGAAGACACACGAGCGTAGACGAACTACGACCAGATCCTAGCAAATCTACCAAGGACAGATCCATCGGAGACACACCTCCACACGCCACTGACGATGCTGGACACACCACTGGGATGAGGGCTAAGCGGGGAGAACCTTGTTTCATCTTCAGGGAGTCGCCGACGCCTCGTCTTCATGAGTAGGACACGAACCCTAACAGAACCCGAAGTAAACATCTAAAAATAAAGCCCTCCCGTCGGAAAGGACCGGGAACCACTACGCTGCCTTGGATCTAAGGCCGATCGGCGCCGGCGCGGGTGGGAGGCAAAGAAACCTTAGACTTTTCTTAGGGAAGGAGGCGTTCACTATTGCGTTTATAATGTTCATGCATTGTCATACAAATATGAATATGAATGTTAAATTGCGAGTGTGTCCTAATCCTGAACTCAAATGCTCCCGCATTGAACAATAAAAATACACAAAATAGAAGAATTAAAAAAATCTATTTTTTTTGCAAGAAACATTGCTTAGTTTTTTTTATGACTGCAAATTTTCGTAATGAAATCACATTTTTGGAGGTCTGGGCAAAAATAACAAAATCAGCGCCCCAAAATACTTTTAAAGAAATCTTTTTGGAGCATCAAATTTGTTTCTTCGCGCAGGGCATTAGGTATGCTTTTTCTTCACAGACATCTGCAAATATGTAGAACATTCAACAATGTCTGTTGCAAATACAAATCAGTCTTTTTTATGATTTTATTACTGCCCATGAGGTCGATTTGAGCTCGGGAGCAGTAAATACTCCCCAAATCCTCTCTTTTGGTTCTCGTCCCCTTCCCCTCTCCTTCCCCCGCAAGCTCCCCCCTCGTACCCCCGACCCCTCCTCCATCTCCCCCTCCGGCCGCCGCAATGCCGGTCTACCGCATCCGCGGCGTGGACGTCGACTTCCCCTACGATGCCTACGATTGCCAGATCACCTACATGGACCGCGTTCTCCAGTCACTGCAACAGGTGGCTAACCAATCCCAAAAACCCCAGCACCAAACCCTACCCCGCGCCGCCCATTCCTCCATTTCTTCTTACTCGTTTTCACTTCATCTCCTTATCGATGTACATGGTAATAACGCGCTGCTCGAGAGCCCGACGGGGACGGGGAAGACGCTCTGCCTGCTCTGCTCCACGCTCGCTTGGCGGCGCACCTTCGGGGAGTTTCTGCGGGGCGGTGGCGGCGGTGGGGGCGGGGGAGGCAGCCAGCCATCAGGGAGCCAGCAGTCTGGGGCATCCGCGACCCAGTCATCGTCGTACCCCGTGATTATCTATGCCTCCCGGACGCATAGCCAGCTCCGGCAGGTGATCAAGGAGCTCAAGGCCACCAGCTACAGGTCGATACCATAGTTTCTGAGCAATTACCCTCTGTCCGTGATTGCACTCTGTTCTTATTGGAGGACTGATTGTGTGGAAATGTATGCTGTTTAGTAATTTACCATGAATGTCCTGTCGTCGAGGTCTGGAGCTGCAGTTAGTTTCGGCTAAATTTCATAGCCCCTTCACTGTCAGTGGTTGATTTTTGGTGCATAACGTTTCACAGGCCGAAAATGGCAGTGCTGGGCTCCCGTGAGCAGATGTGCATCCATGAAGAAGTGAGCAAACTCCAGGGAAAAGCACAGAACAATGGTTGCCACTACCTCTGCAAGAAGCGCTTGTGCCGTCATAACAACATTGTCACTGGTAAGTGCAACTGCATCTTTTCTTGGTATACAGGTCCTTAAAATTGGTTCTACACAAAAATAAGCGGCAGTGATGGAACTTTGCAACCCTGCTTCCAAGTTTTTAAATTTATACTAGGTGTGTTGCTGTAACTGCTACAACCTATAGGCTGATGTATGTAACTGCCCTTTAATACAGATGCTATGTTCTTTTTGTTATGTTGGTTGGATATTTTTATGCAATCTCCCTTTCTTCTCCTTGCTACCTTAATTTGTTATGGCCCATTAAAAAAATGAATGTTGTTTGTTAATTAACCATATGATTACACACGATGGATTCTTGTAGATTACATGAAAAACAACACCGAGATTGGGAGTGAGCCTTTTGACATTGAAGACTTGGTTAATATTGGGAGAACCAAGGGACCGTAAGTTTTATATTTCATTCTTCCTAACTTGCATACTATACACTATACAGACACTGAACCAGACATGCATATGCATTCTTCCAAATAACATTTGTTGTTTTTACTGTAGTTGCCCATATTACATTTCCCGGGAGCTTTCCAAGTCGGTTGATATTTTATTTGCTCCTTATAACTATCTCATTGATCCGGGAAATCGGCGTTCCTTAACTGGCATATCATGGGACAATGCAGTACTTATATTTGATGAGGCACACAATCTGGTAAGGAAATATGCACATAATTGTTTAAGTATATATGGATTGCTCAACCTTCTCCATAAGTTTGGACTTTTGGTTCTACTGGTTGGTGTATGAAACTTAATATTGTATCAGACCCAAGAGGTCTTGGGTTCAAGTCTTGGCTTTTGCATTTTCATTTAAATGCTCGCCCTCCTTCCATCCATGTTTAGGCCTTATCAAGCCACACATGAGAGGGGGTGTTATATGTGGATTGCCCAACCTTCTCCGTAAGTTCGGACTTTTGGTTGTACTGGTTGGTGCACGAAACTTAATATGTTATTTAACTTAATAACTGAACTCTCTTGATGCACTTTAGCCTTGAATTTTGAAGAACCCAGTTGCAAAAACATATATTCCTGATATCCATTTTGAGACAATATTCTTGCAATATCCTCGTGGTTTGTTTTGAATTTGCAATCACTTTTTTATTCAGGAGAGTATATGTGCAGATGCTGCCTCTTTTGACTTGCTTACCAGCAACCTCACTTCTTGCATCACGGAAGCTCAAGAATGCATCCAATTGTGTTCATTCAAGAGGTCCATTGAAAACTCTGCTGAAAAACAATTTGACCCAGAAAACTATGCTATCCTCAAAGGTTACTCAAAGTTCTCACATCATTTACCTTTCAGTTTGATGATTGTGAAAGTGAGTTTTCCTCATGTTAATAGTGGAACTCTTTTTCCAGCTCTTTTAATGGCACTTGAAAAAAAAATCGGTGAGCTTGTAATTGATTCCAAGGAGCTGGGTTACACAAAGCCTGGGAGTTACATATACGAGTTCCTCTCTGAACTGAATATTACGTCTGAAACATCCAAAAAGCTTATTGAGATTATCGATAGTGCTTCTCTACTGCTCGAGGAAGGTAATTGTCTGTTGTATGATTCCTTTTTCCATTTGAATCCATTTCATTTTCTTTGTGGTTAGTTAACACCAAACCTGCCAATCTTTCCAGAGTCTTGTTTTGTTGTTTCAGTTGACCACATTGAAATTTCTGTAGATTTTCATGGTTTATGCAGTAGCTGAGCTCCATTGTTTTATTCCTACATATTCAGGAAATTCTGGTGAAACTAAAGCTGGTGTTAAGGCAAAATCTACTGTGTCTAGATTGGAAACAATTAGAGATATGCTTGACATAATATTTAAGGGTGGTGGTCAAAACCATGCGAAGTATTATAGTGTAAGTTTCTCTGCCTTGTGTAATTGTTACTTCTCTCATCTGTTACTATTGGGTGATGAATCATACACATCCATGTATGTATGATGATGATATATGCATGACTTCTAGTATGGCTTCACTCGTAGTCTTGTCATCCGTTCTCTTTCCATGCTTTGCAGTATACGCTTGCGTACTTTATTGGCAATTGTGTGCTCTTACAACCAGACTCAAATCTTTTGTTTCCAGTTTCATGTGAATGAATCATCTCGACAGACATCTGGTGACTCATTGCAAGTTTTCGGTAAGTACAAAGCATACCTATTATTCTATACTGCACGTGTTCATTTTTATCTGATTTTATTTGGTTCCATGACTCATAACCATATCTGGTACTGAATACGTTCACCTGAAATGTTTTTTTGCTCTCACTTATCTGTTCCTTTTTTTTTGAAGGACTTATCTGTTCCTTTCTTATATCATATCTGTAACATAAGCATACTTATAATCCCTTTATCTAAATAATGGTGGTGGGAGCCGCAAAATCCGCCATCAAGATTTGTACTAAAGCATGGAGCATTTAGTCTTTCTCTGTCACTTGATTAATTCTAAGTTACATGCATAACTTCCATTGACTCCAGGCAGTTTCATAATTCCTTGTAACCATAGAATTATAGAAAAGCACATTTAAGTCATTAATATGTTGACGTCAGTTAGTCTCCTTCAATGATCAACTGGTTGTATTGTCTGCTATGAACATTTTCATGTATTTGCAGGTAAGGCTTCAAGGACTCTTAGTTGGTGGTGTTTTAACCCAGGGCTTGCTATGGAGGAATTTCTGAAGTTGGGTGTACGCTCCATTATTTTAACTTCTGGAACTTTATCTCCCTTAGACTCGCTTGCCATGGAATTAAACCTGTAAGTAAAACTCTAGTTTAATTCTCCTTTACTTGTTTATTGACTTGAACCTTTGCCTTTATGTTTATTTCTCTATTTGATGTCGATGCAATATGTTTCCATGCATCCAGTGAGTTCCCTGTCAGGCTAGAGAATCCTCATGTCATTTCTCAAGATCAAATCTGGGTTGGAGTTGTGCCTGTGGGGCCATCAGGACACCCACTTAATTCTTCTTATCGGACACGTGAGACTGTAAAATACAAACAAGAATTGGGCACTGTTATAGGTAGGCAGTTCAAAGTTTGAACAGTATGCAGCTGCTTGTATTTTGAATTAGCTGCTGTATGCATTTGATGTTTGTGCTTGTTTTGCAGTTAATTTTGCCCGTATTGTGCCAGATGGTCTCCTTGTTTTCTTTCCTTCATATTCTATGATGGACAAGTGTATCGACTACTGGAAAAATAGGGTCTGTGTAATTGCCATGAGTTAATCCCAAGCGTCTGTGCTATTTGTCCTTGAGCATTTTGAATCCCTTGCAGAACCATGAACATTCAGTGGATGATAGCACAATATGGCAGAGAATGTGCAAGCATAAGCAGCCAGTTATAGAGCCTAGGCAGTCTTCAAACTTCCCAAATGCAATTGAGGTTTTGAGATCATTTATCAGTTCCCACTTGAACTTTGAACTTTTCATAAGCTCAGATAACTCTATACCATGTGATTTGCAGGATTATGAGGCCAAATTACGCGATCCTTCTACTTTTGGGGCAATTTTTTTCGCAGTTTGTCGCGGCAAAGTTTGTTCTTGTTCATTCTTACAGCTTCTGTTTTGTATTGTAGCTTCTGATGAAATATTGATTTTAGTTTTCTTTTGCTAAAAGTTTAACGTTTCTTTCTGTCAAATCATTCCTTCCCAAGTCTAATTGTGCTACTTGATCTATTGTAAATTTACAATTCTTAATTTCAATAATTTTCTATGTGTCAGAAGACAACGAATGTTTCAGTTTTCAGCGACTATAAAGAAAGAATGCTGTAGTGCTAATAGAAGCTGTATTATTGTTGGATGACTGTCTTATGAACAATGTAATGTCATACTAAAAGTCTAAAACAGAATGGTTAATAGGGAATGCTCATTTGTGGCACGATGAGTATGAGTAAACAGACAAGCTGTTTGACTGCGGTGCTACAGTTAACTAAAGCGTTATTCAAAGGATGGATTTATTGTTATGTTAGGGGTGCACATTTCAAATTGTAGCTGTTTAGTTGACATTAAAAGATTGCATATCCATTATTTATGCATTTTATACTTTTACAGGTTAGTGAGGGTCTTGATTTTGCTGACCGTGCTGGGAGAGCTGTAATAGTTACTGGAATGCCCTTCTCCACCCCGACTGATCCTAAGGTCTTCCTTGTCTTGTTTCCCCGTCCTCATCATTTTTTCTGTGGATTCCCATCCTTAGCATAGTATAGTAAGAGGGGATTACTAGTGAAACTCTAATTGGTTGGAGAAAGCATGACAAGCTATTAACCACATTATTTTACTGGAAGGGTATGATGCCTACTTTTTCCATCTTACAACCAGTGAAGGTTTTTTCATTTTCCACTGGTAATTGTCTTCCAGAAGAGTTACCTATGTGACCTTCAACATTGGGTTTGGTGCATGCGTTCAGAATATAATCCCTCCGTTCCATATTTGTTGTCGCTGATTTAGTACAAAGTTGTACTAAATCAGCGACGACTTATATGGAACGGAGGGAGTACTTCATTTTCCTTTTTGTAAAACTTGAATTGGTGGTGTAGCTAGGCTGGAAATATTTTCTGATCTTTTTTTTTCTGAGAAAATATCTTACGTTCCGGAGTTTTTGAATCTGCATAAGCTTTTGACACCTTGTACAGAAATAAAAGAATTGTTTGTCAGCTACTCGTCTCCTAGCCTACAAATACAGTCATGATGTGAGAACCTCCATTTTTCTGTTCGGGGAGACATATAACTCTCAAGTTTCAGAAATATATAATGTTTGTGTTACCCAAAAAAAGTAGTTTCATTGCCCTTTATTGCTTTAGTAAATCTTGCTGTTTTCCCTTTGTGATTGTTTCAGGTTCGGCTCAAGCGTGAGTATTTGGATAAGCAGGCTAAACCATCTAACAAAAACCCAAAGGTTAATATTTTCTATACTAAATTTTGAATTTTCTATGGTTGATTCTCTTAATATTATTTTATATGTAATATTAAATGGAGGAATGTTTCTCCCCTATTTTTTCGTCCATCACCGAAGTTGCGGAGTTGCTAAAATTTACCCCTTATGCCACCAGTAATCTCTATCTCTACCTAATACTAGTTGACTGCCCATGCATTGCCAGAGAATAATAAACTCGGATATAGAGACATGGATCAAACATCATTGTAATTCACAACGTTTACATCGCTACCGACAATAGAGGTCTTGTCTCCGTGCTCCCCTGCCGGGCTGACCATGTTGATGTGAAGCTCATGTTTATTTTGCCCTCTTTAATCCTCTCCTTAGTGTCCTGTCTAGTCCCACCCGCCATGGCTGTCGTGTTTCTCAGTCACCTCAAGCACCACGCCATCCCAAATCATTCGTCCTTCCGCTTGTTTTTTGAGAAGAGTTGTTGTGTTGCGCTTGCTGTGAGCATTTAACTCACACCATCCCAAACCTGGTTTATGGAAGTAGACGAGCGTTGGTTGATTTGTTTAGTGCATATAAGACTTCATGGGGATGCGCAAAGAAGAAATTGCTGAAGTCACCTAGTGTACAAATCGAAACATCTTCTCACCACGCGGGCCTCAGAGTTGAAAGGAAATTTATGAAGATTTTTCTGAAAAAGAAAAAAAATCTTATATAATTGGTCCCTTTGAAGCATTGAATCACCGTGACTTAATTGGAAATATTATTTTGTTCTGGTACATTTTACTAAGTTCATCGACTGGCAGACATATACGAAAGTAAGTAGAGATAGAGGTAAATTGTGTGAGTACTCAAACTTAAATATATTCAGTTAGCACGTGTACATCGTAATGAAAGAGCTTAAGATGAACAAGCTAATCAAACAATCCAAATTATTGATATGCTGATAGCTAACACTTGTCCTTGAAATGAATGTATCTAGCACTAACATTGGTGCTAGATACATCCATTTGAGGGACAAGCTTTTTCGGACGGAGGGAGTACCATACAACACAGAATGCGCACACATAGTGTCACCCGAGAATGTAACATGTGTAAGTACCGTACATCTCGATACAACCACACACAAAATCAGATCACACAACTCCAAACAAAATTCGTCCAACATCTCTAAAAAAACTACACAAAATTACACTCAGTAGCGTCACCTTGCTCCTCATGCCCCCCCCCCCTCCCCGCGCGCGTGAAAGTGCCCT